TTACTGTTCGCAAATAGTTAAGGATGTGGGTTGTTCTAGTTTTAGGGAAATGCGAAGTTTAGCTCAGGATAGGAAAGAGTGGAGGTACGTGTCCAACCAGTCTTAGGACTGACAACCCTATGATGATGATGATTATTATTAGTTACGAAGATGGTTCGTCGGAATAGAAAATAAGTGGAGATTTTGCTCCTAGATACTTTTTTTCTGAAGATTGTGGTCGATTATAAAATTCCATTAATCATTTTACTAATGCATTGAATTAAAAAAATTTTGCAGTATGAAATCGTCGGTAATCCAAGAAAAGATTCTATTCGTTGAGTAGTTTTTAAAAAATAGTTTTTTATTATTTTTATGAAATTTCACCTTTGAAATAGAAGTGTTTAAAACGAAATGGTTTATGAAACGTAGGAGTTCTTGTCTGCATTATGTAGAAATCGATAAGGTTTGGCTCCAGTTCGTCTAATTGAATAATTGCTCTGCAATTTCACAAAATAGTCTTATCAAAGACTTTCAGATTTAGCGATAATTATAACTTAACGCGGTAATTTAGTTAGTCCTTTATAGGGATTAATGTTTTAATTTTAACTTACTCAAAGTAAAAATTTCTATTACGTCGAACAAAAGTTAAACTGCGTATTGTCAATATTTAATCAGCTAATATTCTGATAGTGTTTAATCAGTAGGTAAGTACTTATTGTTACTGTTTAAGTTTTTGAGAAATCCTGCGCTTTGATAAATAACTTTACTTGTGGCATCTTACGTAATGCCACAAACATTATAAAAATATTAAAAATAAATAGGAATAGATACTATCTATAATTATTTCGTGATTCATAAATGAATGATGTTGTATATTACAGAGACTGGCTGTTTTTTTTTCGTTGTCATCGGAAACAAGATTAAAGGCGTCTTTGTGCTTGTGTGAACATGATGCGCGCAATTTTTTTGTAACTTATTTTGGGCTTTGATTTATTAATGCTATAATGTCCTGAAAAATTGGGCTTTGTTTTTGAATGAAATCAACTACTAGTCGTGATGTTTCTACTTTTTTAAATTAAATTATTTCCTTTTTGTTGCACTTTGGTTAACGTTTAAAGAATATAAATGTGAATTCTCCTAGCAAACAGTGATTTAACTTACTAACGGGAATTTTAAAGAACGTAACCAAGAAAAATCAACATCTATTTCAAGTAAAATTGACAGGAACTTTTATTTGTTTTGTCTTTTGTTCCATACGAAGCTAATAAAATGTAATGTAAGACTGCACTGGAGACTGCAGAATTCCCACTTTAAAGTTTCTGCTTACCTCTAGGAAAAATTTATAAGTGAAATTGTTTAATGGTAGCAAAAGCTATCGATCAGAATATTATCCAGAAGTATGAAACATTTTAAAGCTCTTCTCAATGAAGTAAATCTTAATTCAGACCATTCGAAGTTTAGTTTTTAGTTATTTATTTGCATATTTGCATGTATAATCAAAATAGTTCAAATAAACAAAAAATATTTTTAGAATTGCGTTTGACGATTATGTAAAAAGAGGAACAACATTCCTTAATATTTGATGGATTGCCAATGAAAATGAGCTATCAAGGACTCAAAATATTTTATAAATGCTATTAGAATAATAAATACTATATCACAATTTATTTTCTTATTCGATTTATTCGTACATGCTAATATTAGAAGCACCAACACAGAAAAACTTTACGTTTCAGAAAACAGGTTTATAGCTTTAAGGATCAATAAGGACCCGGACCAAAAAGACTTATGCTATGCATGCAAAGCTCATTTTAACGATACTCCACAAGCGTAAGCAGTACTAACAAAAAGCTTTGCACTCTGTTTGCTCTTAAGATGTCCCCTTCAAATCAAATTTTTTAATACGATTTTCTAATTTACCCAAGAATTTACATGTCCTGTGTGAATTTTAATTTAACTTTTAATTTTACAATTTCGAATCCTTTGATAGACATCTGAAAGGACATTGCTGTAACAACACAGGGAAGTGGCTAGTTCTTTTCTGCGTTGGCCACATCGTTGTAGATTTTTAGTTCCAAGATGTCATAAGTACCATAAAAATGACAATGTAAAACCACAAATATAAGTGAAAACCACTTCAATTTAGTAATAATACTATTAGGATACTGGCTAATAACAATCCGTTCCGTTTTATTCTAAAGGGGTAATTGGTGGTCGATTTGTGAACATTATAGGAGACTTCAAACATTTTTTTCTGACAGTTTGGTTGAAATATGTAAAAATGCCGTAATTATTCCGGTACATTCGCATTTACTCTAAATTAGTGTTTGGTGGCTGGTGGTCGACCTGCATATTTATATAGCCACCAAATTAGTGAAAATTCTAACATTACCTATAGGAGATTCCAGACATGCTTTAGAACACTATGGTTGAAATATGAAAATGCCCTAGGTCGACCACTTTTAACCACCATATCCCACACCACCACAGTAGCTGTGGACGTGCACGACGGGAGGGTCGAGGCGACTACCACATGCATAATCTAGTGGTACGCTAGTGTTTTTAATGTATGAGTTTTGACCTACCCGGGTCCACCCGTGGGTACGTCCCTGCTATAAGGATGTGGTATTGTTTTCAGTAAAAGGACTCTAGTTAAACCAGTATCTGGTTCGTACATATCTATTCTTACCTTCAATGTAGATAAACAAAAGGGCCCCTCCGACAGTATAAATTATAAGGACAACGGTAAGGAACATATGCGTGAACCATCTTTTGCTCCAAGAACTGAGCTTGTGGTACAACCAAAGGGTACTTTTCTCCCCTATACTTAGACCCGATTTTGCAAAATCTCTGATTCCACTAAACTGGTGGAACATGAATTGCGAGGCTTTGCGAGGGTTGTAGAACGGATCCACCCCCGCTGTCGCTGCACCGGGCGTTAAGGTGATATTTGCTGTATAGGGATTCGCGGTTGCAGCGGTATAAGCCGTTCCCGGGGGAAAACCCGCAGGACCCGAAAAACTGCCTGGAGTATTAGGAATGTGAAGACGAAGAGGTTTTTTGGTCTTTATTCCGGGACTTTTGATGGTCACTTTCGGTATTTTTTGACCACTTCCAGACGATTTAATAGAACGACTGTCTGATGGGGTTGTTCGTCCTTTCTCCATTTCGTTTGATGATGATTGAGGATGATGTTTATGTTTAATAAAAAGTTTTAGATGATTAAATAGATGTAAATATTATCACATTTCACTAATGAGTCAGTAAGTTTAATCACGTAATAAATCGCAAATCACATCACACCATTCAACTGGACGAAATGAACTTCGAAAGTTTTTCGATCGGCATTTGTCACTAGCCAGGGGATTCCTGGAAATTGAAAAATTAGCATTAATGCTAATCATGACAAAAAAAATAGGGTAAGTAAATAGCAATCTTTCCTATTTCGTCTTTAATTTTTTTTATGTTGAGTAACTTGCTGCAATTTTCGTGAAAGTTAAAGTAGTGTTAGATGTTTATCTGATTATACATACATTAATAAATATCAAGTGATTGTATGATTAATGATTTACAATTCTGCAAGAGAAATTGGCAACTGTTAAGTTTTTTTTTCTAAGGCAGTTAAACGTCAACATTTGTACTTGGAGAAGATATGTATGTAGATTAAAAAATGTGTTTTTTCTGTGCTAATGGGTCAAGTCTAAAACGATCTAAAAGAATTTTGTTTTGTTATGAAGACAAGAAAAGTTTGGAAAGATGTTATTGGATATATTTTTTAACTTCTACTAGGCTTTAGCAGATATAAATTTACTGAAATAAACAAATAATAGTAAATTTTAATTGCTTAAATAAAAGCAGCATGGAAACGTGATAATTAATCAGTTACGATTAAATTTTAATGCAATTAAGTTATGAACAACGGAAGTGTGTAATAATTACCGGTTCTTATTACTGATAAGGAAGTATTTAATTTCTGGAATGTTTTAAAAAAAATTCGTTAGTTACATCAAGAAAATATTTTTTCTGAATGCGATGAAAGCTTTATACTGGTAAAAATTAGCTGCATTAATCTTAGCTTTTTACGAAGAAAAGAAAATGAAATCAAGCAAAGATTCTTACCTATTTTAACAAGAAAGTTGTTTATGTATGTAGAAAATATGAAAATTAAACACTAATAATTAAATTAAAAAAAAAGATCAATTAGTATCAGAAGAAAAGCAACTGATTGTGAACATAACCACTTTCACTGCTTAGTTTATTTTGAAGCCCGCGGGCAGCTACTGATTGCACGTCGCGCTGTCGCCAATTCCAAGCGCGCTACCGTTCCGTCGTCGGGACGCTTGGCGTCGCAAACAGATACAGAGCCAACTGAAACGGCTACTCGCTTTTCTGCAGTCATCGAAAGGATATCCGCGACCAATAAAACTGACTTAGAGTTTTTCATTTTTATCTATTTTTTTTTTCTTACTTCCAATGTGTTTTTCACCGCTTAAGAAAACATTTAACGGGTTAACGATATTTGGTGGCAAATAAACATGAAAAGGTCACCGAATTTAAAACAATGCGATACGCAATTGATTAGCTAGAAGTATATAAAGAGTTTTTATTTACTAATAAACCAGTGCAACTGAACATTTTCTATTTAATTGATGCTTTTTGTGGTGAATTCACTCGGAAACATGTTTTATAACAAATTGTATGTACCTACAAAACACTTGGGATAATTTTATAAACTAATAAAACTTCCCAACGAAATTGTTTCGGCTATTAAGTCATTATCAAAAGATATAGAATTGTTCTTAATGTTTACATTGCTACTTATTGTTATTTATATTCTTTTGCATTTGAAGATTAATGAATTCTACTAAATGCTATTGCGTGAATGTGTTCTTTCAGTCTGGTGTTAATGGATCTAGCTGACTGCCCTATGTACAATGTTTTACACTTATCAAATATAAATTACACATTTTTTAAAAAGTTGAATATCATTTTATTGTATTCAGTTAATATGAGTTTAATTTATTGACTCGAATACAACACAAACCTAATTTAGACAATTAACCACTGATTAGATGATTAGTGTGTTTAATCCTTTCTTCCGAGGTCGTTTAATTTCCATTTTGATTGCCGTTCAAATTTCAAACCGCAACCAATAAAATCGTTAAAATAATAATCGATTTTGGATTTTCAGCTTTAACGCGACATTTATGAGCAATTAAAACTCATCGAATCGATTTATAAGCGTTGTTATTTCCACTAGTTAATTTGTGGTAGAACGTTTAAGTCACTTATTTAGCGATGGGGCTTTGAAGTGATTTATTTTCTCAAAAAAAAAGTAAAATTCTCTATTACGTGATGCGTCATCATCCAATTGGTCGCGAGAAAACGATCTAAATAAATATTACAATACATGTGCAAAATTCAATGAAGATCATTGGAATAATCCTTTTATTGATTGGGTTTCAAAATTATGTCCACTGCGATATTAATTATTATTTTATTGTGTTGGATTTTTAATTAAAATAGAGCATTTTGGGCAAAACAAGTTTATCTTCATTCTTTTGGTGTTTTGGGAAAAAGAAACTTTTCTGGTTAAGAGTTTGGAAGGGACGAAATTAATAAAAAACCCAAACAGAATTTTGTACGTTGGCTATTAGCTAAAACGTCACATCAAAAGCACTTTAATCTAAGGGAGGATTTGGGCAAAGAAATTATGTCCTTTATTGCTCTCGACTTTTATGAGTTACATAATACGAAAATGTCCTGTAGGAGTTCATAAATTGCCAAAAATATTTCGTACACGTATGGGTGTACTCAAAACAGCACAATAAAAGTAAAACAGGGAAAAGCTCATATACCATACTTGAAATCTGAATTAAATAGGAACGCCATAATTAGGTAGATACCTTTTGCAGATTTACCTTTTTAGTACCAAGTGATATCACCAATTTAAGATACGTGTGATCTAAGTTTTGCATGTATCATGCTTATTACGTGTATGTAGGTGATAAATTTCACAGACAAATCAAGACATTTCTAAAATTATATATTTTGGAGACATTAATAAAATTAATTTATTGTACATTTGTTGGTCATTAATTTGGATATGTGTCAATTTCGAAAATGTGATGTATTTGCCATGTTTGCAGTTAGCGAAGTTGGAATAGCCGATATCCTTGACTGCCTATTTTTTGCAAAATTTATTTTCAAAGTTCGATCATTAAACAATCAGAACAACTACTTCATACACAAGTATAAAATGTGACTCAGTAACTGTGACATCCCGTAGCAGATCATCCAACACGTAACATTTAAACTATGACGCAGGAAGTTTGCAGGATTATTCTTGAACGGTGTGTAGACTGAAATAGCTTTTGAATTTTCCTTTAAACACTGTTATGACTACCTACCGGTGAGCGCTCCGTTTATTTTTAACTGGAGACGCCAACTGTTTCATCGAAAATTTTGTTGGCGCACACCAAAAGTCAAAATGATTACCACAATTCCCAACAGCAAATATACTCGCTTTCATAAAAGTTTCGCGGTTTTATAAACTCTCAGAAGTCAAAAACAAACCGAATATATAACAAAATTCAGCAATATTTATTTGTAAAGAGTGGCGCCTCTAAAATCACTTATTACATGCAGACTTGATCAAATAAGATGTTTTAATCGTTTATTTTTAAGTAAATAGCATCTAATAATTAGTTTTATTCATATTTTAAAAATTTCTAGATTAAAAAACAACACAATTGCCTTTTTTCGCCTCTCATAGCTTCCTACCATTCATCTCTTCTCCAAATGAGGTACTATCAATTCCAGACAAAAATAAATGTGGTTTTATTTTACTATTGATTAGATTACACAAGTAAATTTTAAAATAAAATTTAATTTTAAAAATAAAACAGGAAGTATTCTTACTATTATAAAATAATTTATAACTTTTTTTCAGTTATCAGTTTTGTTTTTCTTATTTTTATATTACGATATACGAATTAATTTCTGTCTTTTTTGTTCTAAAATATGAAGGCATTTTTTGATTAATTTATTTACTTTTTTAAATAGCAGATTTTTCCGTTAGCTTGTATGGAATAATTATCTATTGCTAACTACTATTGAGACACATCCGTTGTTTTGATTTTCAAGGTGACGTTTATAGGTTAAAAAAGACGTATAAAACAATCACGTAATGAGAAGACGTAAATAATAATTTTAGCTGATGGTGCTTTAAATTATTTATGTTATAAACTTTTACCTATCTTATCGTTGCTTATATTTATGTTAGTAGGTAACTTTATAATATCTACTTTGTATGTGAAGAGCTCATCAATTAATGATGGAGTATTTTCGTCAATTTCTACACAACTTTTTTCATAAATATTTTAATACTGAAGAAATTGTAGCACCAGAAATCAAGAGATTGAATGTTTACATGAATGGAATTTACAAAATATTGTCCTGGGAAGATCCTGTCCTTAGTTGGAGGACCCTGGGAATCATTCACTTTGTGCTTTGGTATAGTACAATATGCTATTTTAATTACAATTAATTTGCATTGTTTTAAATGTTTCTAGGATCGTATTACAGTTGCGTTTAAGAATTTACAGTATCATATCAATTGTAGTATTACTGCTTTTCTTAACGGATATTTACTTTGAGAGGTCAGGGGTTATACCTGACGAGAGTGAATCAGTGCATCTGAACAATTTGCTGACCTCTAGTAAAGAATTTGTAGCCAATATTCAGTACTTTAAAAAAACCAACCCAAAAAAGGTAACAATATGCAAGTGCTTCTAGTTTTTCAGTTTTTATAGCTATACAAAATAATATCTTTTAGTTCTGTGTAACATTTTCTGGTTTTTTCCTATTTTTGTTAATATTATCTACAAATATTTCTGGATTTCTGCTGGTTTACTTCATACTAGTCAGTGTATTTTTCACACCACTGATTGCTTCAAAAATACCACCTGAGTATTTATTGCCAATAAAAAAAACTATTCACCATTTGAAGACAGAGGAAGGTAATGGCTTAGTTTATGCAAAAACTTCTATTTTATGCTTATATTGTGTCACATGCAATATTTATTTAAGTAAATACCATTTTTTTAAATGTTAGATAATATTAACATGCATCTACTTGATATTTACAGGAATTGTCACAGAGGCTGATTTAATGCCTATAGTATCAGAAAAAGAGTTGGATAGTTTGTTAACTGACAAAAGCCAAGGTAACATAAATTACTTTGTTTTTTATATTTCATTAAAACATATTTTTACAGATTCTGTCAGTAATTCTTTCTTAGGAGGTCTTGTGTCAATGCCTTCACATCTGGATATAGAGGGAAGTCTGGACGATCTCGAAGACGATCTAGAAATTCCAGTAAAGTCTTCCAAAGGATCAGCTGTGTCCTACACTCCTGGTGATCTTTCAACAGATTCTGATTCAGAGCATAAAGGGATCACCTTTGAGTCTTCTCATTTCAACGGCGATTCGTCATCTGAAGAGGAAGAGAAGCGGTACATGGCAGGCTTGAAGTTTTCTGAGGAGTCAATGGACGTTCCTGACCGCGGAGATTCCAATTTGGGTGGGAAAAGTTCCGAAACAGGATTACTTTCTAATCTATTATCGGTAGGACAAAATCTTTTTTCTAGCGTTGGAGGCAAAAGTGAATCGGCCTCAAAAAGACACGACAGTGACAGCGATTACGAAATTATTACTTCTGAGGACGTCGAATGAATAGTAGACGAACCTTTTTGTACCATTTTACACAATGTTACTAATCAATATGCAAAGGGAAAAGAAAGAATTTAACGTTAATTTAATAATTGTCATTGACTTGTACAGTCAAGCATTTAGTTAATGAATTTATTATTTTGCAATTAATGTATTTGGCGAAAAACTTTTTTTATTTTTTGTTTGGTATTTAAACGTATTACTATTTATAATAACGTTTCTACAATTTCGGTTTTTGCTTGATAGGGTATAAAAGACGAGAATTGTTTACTTTTTTTTTGTTTAATTTCCTTTACAGGTGATCTTATTTTTTTATACTTAAGTTCTAGTTTAGTACCTGTTGAAACTACTTAAAGAATGTGATATGTTTAGTTATCATTAAACGGTATTTTTTTATTATTTTTTAACTTTCACTTGACAGTAATTGTACATATATTTTTTTTTAGGTTTTTTTTGAGGGAATCAACTCTCTTAATTTCTATTTTAAAATTGGAAGCTATTAAAAACAAATAATAGTATGATGCAATTTTGAATTTAATTTAATACTTGAAACCAATTATTTCTTTACAAAAGAAAAACGTGTAGAAGCATNTGCAAATTCAGTCCTAAACACTATCAGCTGGTTAGCGGGTGCTTGGGAGGCGAAATTGTATGGTACCATCCAATTCTATGAGAAAAACAAAATTTAAAAGGTGATTGATATCGTCTTATTTAATTTTTGAATGCCATTATTCTGCGTTCTTGCAAATATGTCGAATTTCTTTTATCGTGCGTTGTGCATTTTATTTAATTTTTGTTGATTCTGTGATTAGGGTGGGATTGCGTAATCAATCATTTGATGGAATGAATTAATTTTAAAACTTGTAAATTATTATTATCTATGAAAAAGCCAATACTTTTTCGTACGATTTTCTTAAAATAAATGCCATCTGAGTTTTACCTTTTTTTAATTGTAGTTTTTGGGATAAATGTACTGTACCAATAGGAAAGGGTAATTTTTGATTTCCCAGCTCTTCTATCCAATTTTTTATGTCAAAAATTTTGATACAAAGTGTTAGTAAAAAAGTATCTGTTTAACGTATACTAAGCAGACATTATCGGTCTTATTATAATAGAAAGTAATTGGATAGTTTTAAAAAAGGATTTAGTTAGACTCGAGATTTGATTTAAAAGTAAAAAATCGTTTAGTTTAATTCTAAAATGATATAATTTAAACAATTCTGTAAGTTTAATTAAAGCGCCTTTTTATATGTACGATTGGTTGCCTACTCAAACAATAAAATTTCTACTTTAGGCAACTCTTGATACATCCTTGAAATGGTTGTCTACATGTGAGTCCATAAAATGTAAAATTATTACTTTTTGATAGATAAATAGTATCGGAACGACTATTTATGTTGAAAGCAAGGTTTATTTTGTTTTACCACAAACTTTTTAAAAGCAGCTGAACGATTACAACAGTGTTTTGGTTGAATTAAAATAGTATACATTACAATACTTGGAATAGTCAAAATGTCTCGAAAGGCTAAGAGGATTTCATACAACCTAAATAACTACAATTTGATTAGAAGTCGAGAATTGGGTTTAAAACCAAAATTAGGGCATGGTGCCGACATTTCCAAGAAGTTGTATTCAAACCTAGATGTATGTCGACCAAAAGTGCCAGTTGAGAAAACTAAATGTGAACAAGGAGGTATTTTTAACTTGGAGTTCAGTTTTGATGGGTAATTGAGCATATTGCAACACATTATATTGATAACTGATTAAATATTTTTAAGACGAATGCTGGTGTCTGCTTGTAAAGAAAGATCTGTGTTGATTTTTGATGCAGCTAATCAAAAGATGATAAAGAAAATTAACGAAGCACATTGTAATTGTGTCAATTGTGTTAGGTAAACAAAAAGCTAAAATTATGTTAAAACATATTAACATAGAACTTTTGTAGGTTTCTTAATGACTATACATTTGCAACTTGTTCTGATGACAACACAATAAAGGTATGGGACACAAGAATGCTAAATTGTGCCACAAGGACATTACAGGGTCATTCAAATTGGGTAAATTCTCTTCATTTCATGCTAATGGTTTGACTTTAAATTTGGTATTCCTTTAGGTAAAAAATATAGAATACTCAGAGAAAGAAAATGTGATGGTAACATCAGCTTTTGATGGAAGTATTTATGCTTGGGATCTCAATAGCCCTACAGAGAATAACGTTCTCTATGACAAAGTATTTGTGATGAATGGACTTATGAGGACTAAACTGACACCTGATGGCACAAAAATGGTCATCTGTACAACAAGTGGATATATTATTATAATTCATGATTTAAATTTGAGAACATTAAGCCATGACATGAAAACATTTAGGGTAAATTAACTGGAAATTGTCAGTATTCATTTATTGTTATTGTTTTATTTGCAGCCCAATTTGTACAGACTTATGCAGTTGAGTGAACAAACTTTTCCAGCTGCCACAATGTTCAATTACCTTTTTTACCATTCAAGAAAGTCAAATCGGTTAGAGTTTATAGACGACTTTCCCAACGACGTGGAAGTAATTAGTTCTCTTCAGATCCACCCAATGGGTTGGAATGCTTTATCAAGAAGTATTAATGGATCAGAAAATGAAGAGGTGACTCATATTTTATTTTTGTTAATATTTTAAAAGATAAATGAATTCATAATGAACTTATTAGTCCAGTTTATCATAAAAGAGAAGTTTTTGTTGCATTTTAAAGGTAATAAACAGGAACTGGATTATTTTGCTTAATGTGTTCATCTCAAAGATTGATTAAAATTAAATTATAAAGACATTAAAGAATATAAATTAAATCAAATTTTAAGAGTTTAATGAATAAATTCTCATCTTGACACATCTAAAAATGACTAAATGAAATTAGCAGTTTACCCTCAGAGGTAAAAACTGTTAGTGGCTGTTATGTGTCTAGTAACTTAACAAAATAAAGGAAATGTAATTAATTCTTTCAGTGGACATCTGTTCATGATATTCAAAGTCGTGATGCGTCAGACTATGAAGATGCTTATCTGTATGTTCTTGACTCTGCATTGCCGGATATCAATGCTGAGGAATCTCCCCCCGAAGACGTAGAAAACGCACGTCCCACAGATATTTGGATGGGCTTCATAACAAATGAACAGCTAAGCGCCCAGCGATCTCAAAGAAACCAAAGTAACCAGGAAAACCTCCATTCTTCCATGGGCATAATTCATAGCGGTCTCGTGGGCAGGGACAATTACACTCGTTACTTCCGCAAGAGACCGGAAGATCGTTTCCGTATAGTGAAAAATTTGCCGAGACTGACGCACTTCATTAAAGAACAGAGTGTTGGTAAGGGGTACATCAAAGAATTGTGTTACTCAAGTGACGGGAGGATTATCTGTTCACCTTACGGAAAAGGTGTCAGGCTTTTGGCTTTCGACGAACAGTTACAAGAAGTGAGTTATTGTGTGCCGGAAAAGCCTCGCGAGCTTTTTACCGTTGCTGAAATAAACGATTATCATCCGGATGTCGTGGTTTGTTGCAAATTCAGTCCTAAACACTATCAGCTGGTTAGCGGGTGCTTGGGAGGCGAAATTGTATGGTACCATCCAATTCTATGAGAAAAACAAAATTTAAAAGGTGATTGATATCGTCTTATTTAATTTTTGAATGCCATTATTCTGCGTTCTTGCAAATATGTCGAATTTCTTTTATCGTGCGTTGTGCATTTTATTTAATTTTTGTTGATTCTGTGATTAGGGTGGGATTGCGTAATCAATCATTTGATGGAATGAATTAATTTTAAAACTTGTAAATTATTATTATCTATGAAAAAGCCAATACTTTTTCGTACGATTTTCTTAAAATAAATGCCATCTGAGTTTTACCTTTTTTTAATTGTAGTTTTTGGGATAAATGTACTGTACCAATAGGAAAGGGTAATTTTTGATTTCCCAGCTCTTCTATCCAATTTTTTATGTCAAAAATTTTGATACAAAGTGTTAGTAAAAAAGTATCTGTTTAACGTATACTAAGCAGACATTATCGGTCTTATTATAATAGAAAGTAATTGGATAGTTTTAAAAAANAACTTAATAAATTAGGGAATATTGTTTGTCGCTTTTCACCTTTACATAATTTAAATCTTTTGGTTTGTTGTTGTAATTTAGGGTTTTGTTTATTATTTTGCTTCGTGGTCAACTCGAAATGTTTTTCCACGTCGAATCCATTTTTATCTTTTATCTTTTTATCAGCTCCTTTGCTAATTAGTAAAGTGATTATATCATTATTTAGTCCCAAAATGACTAAAAATAAGATATTAAATTATCAAATTAATTAAAGTCTCGCAATCGGTACATCCTTAAAAGTATTAATTGGCACGGGAATATCCAAGAAAAATTATTTCAAGAAAATGTAGGTTATTCGAGACGGAAAAAATATAAAAACAACTGTGGGGGTGTTTGAAAATCTTTTAATTGATTTATTTGGAAAGTGAGGAATAATTCAAAATAATTTCACCCTTTTAATTGATTTATTTGCAAAATCCCACCTGCTCTGTGCAGAGGCGTCCATCCTTGATTATCTTGGCAATTAATATTATTGTAGCACTTCAAAGCGTATTGAACGTTATCAATTTTTCCAGAATCCACGGCATGGTGTAAAATTGTCCTTTCGTTAATATCTCTTAAATTAGGGTCAGCCCCTTTTTTAATTAATAAATTAGCTATTTCTAAGTGACCGCGAAAGACGGCTGCCATAAGGGGAGATATTTTAATTATGTCGTTGCAATGGTTCGGGTTCGCCCTTAGTTTCAGTAATAGGGATACTATTTGATTGTCTTCGTGATATATAGCTTGCATTAGGGGTGGTAATCGATCTTTGTTTTCGATATGCAGAAGAACGTGTCTGATAAACATCAAAACAATTTATGGGTAATTAACAGAATTGCACAGTTTTAGTGCTTTTATATACAAGAAGTTGAGTCGAATTACTGATTATTACTATTATTACGAAGTGTGGAAGTTGTAAACAGTAATATAAATAGCGGTCTCGTGGGCAGGGACAATTACACTCGTTACTTCCGCAAGAGACCGGAAGATCGTTTCCGTATAGTGAAAAATTTGCCGAGACTGACGCACTTCATTAAAGAACAGAGTGTTGGTAAGGGGTACATCAAAGAATTGTGTTACTCAAGTGACGGGAGGATTATCTGTTCACCTTACGGAAAAGGTGTCAGGCTTTTGGCTTTCGACGAACAGTTACAAGAAGTGAGTTATTGTGTGCCGGAAAAGCCTCGCGAGCTTTTTACCGTTGCTGAAATAAACGATTATCATCCGGATGTCGTGGTTTGTTGCAAATTCAGTCCTAAACACTATCAGCTGGTTAGCGGGTGCTTGGGAGGCGAAATTGTATGGTACCATCCAATTCTATGAGAAAAACAAAATTTAAAAGGTGATTGATATCGTCTTATTTAATTTTTGAATGCCATTATTCTGCGTTCTTGCAAATATGTCGAATTTCTTTTATCGTGCGTTGTGCATTTTATTTAATTTTTGTTGATTCTGTGATTAGGGTGGGATTGCGTAATCAATCATTTGATGGAATGAATTAATTTTAAAACTTGTAAATTATTATTATCTATGAAAAAGCCAATACTTTTTCGTACGATTTTCTTAAAATAAATGCCATCTGAGTTTTACCTTTTTTTAATTGTAGTTTTTGGGATAAATGTACTGTACCAATAGGAAAGGGTAATTTTTGATTTCCCAGCTCTTCTATCCAATTTTTTATGTCAAAAATTTTGATACAAAGTGTTAGTAAAAAAGTATCTGTTTAACGTATACTAAGCAGACATTATCGGTCTTATTATAATAGAAAGTAATTGGATAGTTTTAAAAAAGGATTTAGTTAAAGACTCGAGATTTGATTTAAAAGTAAAAAAGCGTTTAGTTTAATTCTAAAATGATATAATTTAAACAATTCTGTAAGTTTAATTAAAGCGCCTTTTTATATGTACGATTGGTTGCCTACTCAAACAATAAAATTTCTACTTTAGGCAACTCTTGATACATCCTTGAAATGGTTGTCTACATGTGAGTCCATAAAATGTAAAATTATTACTTTTTGATAGATAAATAGTATCGGAACGACTATTTATGTTGAAAGCAAGGTTTATTTTGTTTTACCACAAACTTTTTAAAAGCAGCTGAACGATTACAACAGTGTTTTGGTTGAATTAAAATAGTATACATTTGTTTAATTTAGTTTTCTTTTTTAAATTATTACATTATTATGGGCAACCCTTTTTGCATTATCGTAGCAGTTGTCTATACAGAAATCATTTAAATACGAATTCAATGATTAATTTATAAATCGTTCATTAAATTAATTTTTTTTTCTGTCGGAAAAAATCAGTTTTGTATTCAAAGCAGGGCTTAACTTTATTTTGTCATGAATGGTGATGAACTTAAATTTTTTGGAATGGAAACAACGAAAAAAAAAACCAAAAGGATTTGGTTTTAATCCATCTCATTATTTCTTCACAAAAACACATACAATCAATAGAAATGTTATTATAATAATTCTTCGTCTCAATTAAAACATTATATATATATTGCATAATTATTATTACTTAATTAATTAATGTAATTAATCAGTAT